GGTAGAAGAACGAGAGAGGGGGCAGGTGTCAGGAGTCTCTGGAGGGAAGCCCGAAGGACCCTGGGATACCCAGGTGGGAAGAAAGAGCCAAGGAACAGCCCTAGTTTCATAGCTTGTACAGCTGCCCCTCAGTATCTGCAGGAGATTGGTTCCAGGAGCCCCCTGCAGATACCAAAGTCCACAGGTGCTTGGGTCCCCTATATACCATGGCAGAGGCAACACAGACAGTCTTCCCTCTGCATCTGCAGATTCCTGATCGAAAATAATATTTTTGATTCAGAGTTGGTTGAATCTTCAGATGCAAAACCTATGGACAAAGAGGGTGGGGGGAGGACTACATTCCTAAAAGAATGATGAGCCCACCAGTTAAGACAGAGAACCTGAGAGGCAGAGATTTCTAGAGAGGGAAAGAGAGGTTTCAGTTTGGATCTTTGCCCTAGAGGTACCTGGCAGGGTCAGTCATGGTGGTGGGCAGCCCAGTGGATGAATGAGAAGCCTAGGGAAGAAGCCTTGGCTAAAGGCTATGTTTTTATCAGCCAGGTCCAGCAAGGTCAGCTAGGGGTGAGACTCCCCTCCCTCCTTCCCTCCATCGAGAGATTGGAACCTCACCGCTGCAATTCCCCTGGATCTGCCCCGACCCTGCACTCTGCCTCTAGGTTGTTCTCTTTCTCCCCATTCTCTCCCCCTCTGTCCCTTGGCCATGCCTTCTCTGAGGCCCTGTCTGCAAGAAAGGAGCAGGAATATTTGTTGGCCAGCTTGGGAAATTACTATGGGTAGCTCTGTGGAGACAAGCCACGAAACTGCTCTGCAACCTGACCCACTGGGCCACCTACCCAGCTCCTAGATCCTGCTCCCACTGCTGACTCTGAGCTAACAGCCTAGACTTTTGGTACATATTTCAAATTGAAGTTAAAGAAACCAGCCTTGAAATAAAAGATGTATATTTACTTTAGTGATTTATGAGCCCAGAGGCAGGGTTTTGGAAAGCAAGTTTCTTTTGCCGCACTCGGTGTGATTCGAAGAAGTGAGTAGGCACAAGAAGTCAGGAAATAAGGAGTCGCAGGACATTGTGTTTTAAAGGGAGGGCCCCCCAGCCATGCTGTGAGGCAGGGTGAGTGGCTAATGACTAGGCAGCCAATGGGCAGAGACAGTGGGAAGGGGACAGGGTGATAACTGAGGTCCCTGAGTGTGCATTTCCTAGAAGCCCTGGAGGACAGACTGCCCTTGTCAAGTGCCCTCCTCCATCTGAGGGAAATTTCCGGGAACCGGGCGGAGAGTGCATGTTGGAGAAAGAGCAACTATTTTGGAGAGAGTCCAGTAAGACTTTGAGATCTGCTGGCAAATTCCATCCTGCAGGTTGGGACCTCTATTATGAAATCTTGTTACTTAAAGCAGGAATGGGGTGGGGGGCAAGCTCACATTCACAGACACACGCGGTGAAAGCAGGGCAAAACTGTGACTACTGCACACCCAAGGCACTCACTCCTTGTAGTGGTTTCACTCCCGATTGTTTCTATTTTCTTTCCAGATCAACTTTGCCAAGATCTAAAAAGTTAATGGTGCTGCATCTACCTTAAATGTTTCTTCCTAGGACTTGTTTGAAACCAGCAGGCACCCAAAACAATGCCAGCTGTCTGCACGCAGTTTTTCCTTCCTGGAAGCAGGGTCATCAACCAAGGCTGAGAAGCACTCAGCTGGGTCAGGTGCATTGCGTGCAGATGACAGAGCTCTGACGGCAAATCCACTCTTAAAGGCAGGCTCCAGGGTTACTCTGCCTAGACCTCAACATCTTATCCCAAAAAGCACCAGTTGCCCAGTCTCTAAAGCAATAGAATGAAAGAGGCTCACTCCTTTGAAATAGGGGTTTGCACAAATAGGATGAGCAAAGTGAGTACAGAGAGGAAACGGAGGCTGAGGCTGAGGCTCACTTCATTTTGCAGAAGATAGGGGGGAAAAAGATAAAGGAGCAAGCTGAGCAAGTTCACTGCTCCCCTGGATCTGTAGCCATCATCTAATATTTATTCCTATTGCTCTGCACAACTCATCTGAACAAAGCAATGGTAAAATCATGAACCCTGAAGTTAAGTTCTCTTGTGCTCTGGTACTCCCTCATTCTGAGTCAGACAGTTTGTCTTAATCCTGTTTCCTTTCTCAGGGTGTTTTCAAACTGCCTGTAGGCCATCTTTCTTTCCCTCTATCACTTCTTTCTACCCACTCCCCACTGAACCTCACTGCCAGAGGGAGAAACAGGACCACCGAATATGGGAAGTGTTACTCTTCTAGTAACAGCCACATTTGGAGTCATGAATTCTTTTCTTACGTCTTTCTTCACTTGGTTTCTAAGACACCACCCACCCTGTTCTCTTCCTCCCTCACCACTTGTTCCTGCTTAGTCTCCTTTGCTGGCTGTTCCTTTTTTCCTCGACCTCTACATTTGGGAGGATGATGTGTCCTCTTCATCAACACTCTCTCCCCTCGTGATCCCATCAGGACCAAGGACCTTAAATGCCATCTACATTGCTGACACTCAAATTTACATTTCAAGACTGGGCCTGATCTGCTGAACTCCAGACAGCCCGCCACCTACTCAACACGTCCACTTGCTTAACAAGCACCTCAAACTCAGCGTGTCCAAAATTAACTACCCACCTGCCTCTCCAGGCCCCGGCCTCAGCCTTCTCCTTTTCAGGCAGCAGATGCTCTCCCGCCGTGCACCCAAACTGTGAAGCCATCGTGGACTCTGCTTTTTCTTCCACCCCACCTACAATCTATCAGTAAATTATGTTGTATTTTTAATTAGATCTGAAATCAGACCATTCTCACTCCTCGTGTTATGCAAGCCACGTGTGGCTATTAATATTTAAATTGAAGTTAATAAAAAAATTTAAAATAGAGCAAGAAGGCATGGCTCTTAGGAAAATTACAGCCAAAATTAAATTTAAAAATTCAGTTCCTTATTGTCACGAGGCACATTTCCAGTGCCCACGGTCCGCGTGGCGAGTGGCTACGGCACTGGGCAGTGCAGACGCCGAACACAGCCGTCACCGCGGGGCTCTGCCAGCCAGTGCTGCCCACTCCCTTCACCGTGGCTGCCTGGTCCCAGCTGTGAACATCTCTTGCCTGGATGTCGTAATAGCTGTTAGCTGATCTTGCTACTTCAGGCTTTAAAAAGGGGCAGCCAAAGTGCTCCTTTTGAAACATTGCTCTCAAAGTTGTCCCAAGGCTCCCATTGATGTCTCTCAGAGAAGAAGCAAAGTCCTCAGAATGGCGAGCAAGGCCTTCCCCTCTCTGGCCCCTTTTACCTATGCGACCTCATCTCCCAGGCTTCCAGCTTGCTCTCTGCCATAGCTATGCTGGCTGCCTGCTGCTCCTCCTCAAGGCTTCTGTTCTGGCTGCTCCTTCTGCCGAGAATGCGCTTCCCCAGGTAGCCTCCTGGCTTACTCCCACCCCTCCTTCCACTCTCTTCTCAAACATCATCTTCCCAGTGAGGCTTGTTCAGGCAGCTCCATATAGGTTTTCACTTCTCCCTCTCCCTTCTCCACATCCAGCAGTCTCGCCCTCGCTTCCTGCACCCTGCTTTACTCTTCTTGTCCACAGCACTGATCTCCTTTCAACAAACTAGATACATTTTCTAGTTTATTGTATGTGGTTTGTTTGTTTTTTTTTTACTATCTGGCAGGGATTTTTGTCCGTTTACTCACTGCTAGAAAGTTTGCCTAGAGAAGGCTCTCAGTGAATATTTGTTCAATAAATAAATGGGATTTGAGAACTGGAAGGAGCCCTGGACATCACTCTTGGATGGAGCAGTGGAGGGTCAGCGAGGCGAGGTTATTCACTGTGGACTCATGACAGTTCAAGGGAAGAGCTGGGACTAGGAGCTGGTGAGGCCCTGGGCACCTTCACGGGGCAGGCCTCATGATGATGAACTCCCTTTCCCCTTCATCTGTCACAATCAGAGGGACGCTGATGAACCACAGAGAGCTAACGGGACAACCACCTAACTAAAATGCCACAGATGTTTGCCACTCTCATGCTGGTAGGCCTTGGCAGCATCCAACCATTGGTCCTACTTCTTGGGAACCAGCAGGAGGTGAGGAGCAGAATGGAGGCCCCGGGCAATGGCTGTTCATACACGCCACTCTTGGCACCACACGGCACAAATGCCAGGACTCTTGGAGAACTGGAAACACACAAGGCTCCTAGGCTGCATTTTCCCCTAAAGGAACATATTACTCTTGTATTTATTTATTTTTTAAGTCATGGTTTCATCATATAATTGCTAAAGTAGTATTTGAGGAAAAAAGTTGATTAGTACCAAAAGAATAATTCTTCATTGCATCATTAAGATATTTCTAAAAATTCAGAAAAGATGAGAAGAAAAACAGACCCAGGTCACATCTCGTGTTAGGGGTACATCTGTCCTCTTGTATCTGTAAGGAAATGCCATCTGAATACACACGTTTTTAAATGCCTTGGGATGAAGATTTTTCTACTGCCAATTCCAATTCTGATAGAAATAGCATGAGGGAGTTTCAGCCTCATAATCAGACCTGCTCATAATGTCACAGCTAACAGGTCCAGAGCCACACAGCATGATGTGAGCAAAGAGCCTAGAAATTCTATCCAGGGCTCACAGGATGATTTAACTTGCCAAAGGATGTAATTAAGTACAAACTTATCTTTATAGTCATTCCTTCATGACTGAGATAACTCAGTTGGAGACTTTGTGGGAGATGCCAGATTTGGAAATATCCTTACAGACTGCACTGCAATGTCATGAAGATTATACCAGGAAACAAATTGATGTGCACAGACAATCTTCTGTACGTGCCAGAAAATTAGATCTCAGGAGCAACACAGAGCTAAGATGTAAAATCAAGGGGAGGAGGGGGAGGCAGAGCTCAGTGAAAGGCATACTCAGCGGCTCCCCAGACAGAGGAGCCCGAACGTCCCATGTGTTCGCCGTGCATTACCTGGGGTGGCGCTCTTCATTGCTTTCACTAACTCGCCCCTTCCAGCTCCAAAACCATTATTTCCATAGTCCGGTCACTGTCACTATCACTGCCACCGCTGGCAGAGTATGAACACATTCTGGGTACCTTGTCCTAAATGAGTAATATGAGACTGTTAAGGTTATTCACGCAAACCAAACTGGGGCAGAAAATGCTGCGAGGACATGAAACAGTTCCTACTTGGCTGATGCTGTGTGCACAGAATGCCATTCCCGCTGCCCCACCCCCAAGCACAACTCTGCTCGCCTGTCTGTCTGCGGAGCTGGCACAGTCTACTCATTACCGCAGCTGCAGAAGCAGGCCTGCGCTAATGAAGCCAGTGACCACACGGCCATTGTCCCAGGCATAGGAAAGTCCCCACATTACCTGCTCTGCATTTTGTACACTTCTTTATGGGGTCTTATTTTTCTCAAGTGCCTATTAGAGTTGCTGTTCCAACCATAATGGCTTATTTATTTAACTGATCTCATCGTTGGCTTCAAGTATCAAAGTGTATGAGAAAAAAATCAACCTTGGGAACAAAAGAATAAATGTTTGCTTAATTTATCATTTTCCTCCAGCCTCTGAAAGGGTAGGGGCCTTTAGGAAAGTACACAACTGCTAATCTGACATAATCCTCAAAGTCTCCTGACAGAGGTCAGACGCAGGGACTCAGTCTCCCCTTTTGCTCACATGCACACACAGCCTGACCCTCCAAGGTGGAACTGGGGTTGTGATCATGCCACGTTCAGGAGCTGTGGGGGCAGTGGACACTCTATGGGCAGTTTTCCCAGGCAGAATAGTGGACCTAGGACAGTGCTCCTGTGTATAGAATCAGGGTGTTTGCAGACTTCCTTGTCAGAGCCTCTTATTCCCCATCTACCCCAGAGAGTTCAGGCACAGATGTATGGGATGGGTCTCTAAAGTCTCTTTGGGAGAGTGTCATTTGGTTGGAAATTATAAAAACACATGTCAGGATGTGAGCTCTCTCAGCTGCGGTTATAAATTCAAGCACTTATTAATGTCCTTTATTCCTTCATTCATTTACTACTCATCCATCCATTTAACAGCTGCTTATTGAGTATCTACTCTGTGCCAAGCCATGTACTAGGTTCTGGGGGTACCAGGCTCAACATAGGAGATACCAGTAGTCTAGCAAGGGTGATGCCCATTAAAGATGACAAGTCTATGGGCTATGGTTCCAAAGAAGCCCCATGCCTAAAGTTCCTGTGGGACTCCAGTAACACTTTATGGGTATGAGGAGATGCATTTTTTTCGTCCCTCTGTTCAACAAACACGAGTAGAACCAAGTACTGTGCTAGGTACTGGAAATATAAAGCTAACTCGTGCTGTAAGCTTTCCTTCCCTGGCAGTCAATGAGGCAGAGTTCTAAGTCCCAAGCTGCGGTGGTGATTCTTACAAGACAGGGCAGGATTCCTAATGGACAGAGCTGGTGGAAGAGGATGAGGAAGGGGCCCCCAGAGAAGTTTGTGTTCAGAGGATGCAGATGTTGTGGGAGGAGTGCCCCGCCATCACATTTCTAGGGGACATCACTGAGCAACTCTCTCTTTCTTGGAATTGCCCAAACCTCTTCACCACTGTTACCATGTGTTGTTTCTAAACTGTTTCTCCAACCAACTCTGGATCTCTTTTAGAGTTTCCTCCCTAATGTTGGGATTGGGAAAACCAAGGAAACAGAGCAGAAAGGGTCATGGAAGGGCTGCGAAGCCCTGGCACTTGGTCCTTACATCCTTCCTCCCACCCTCTCACTGCTGGGTACCACCAAAGACCCCAAAGAAGGCCAGCCCCAGGACAAGTTGAGACATAGTGAACAGGCTGGATGTGGCCCAGATAATTAGCTGAAATTGGTAAATGGGAGGGGGTAGAGAAGGAAATACCAAGTAACCAGAGGGATGATCAAGGAGTCCCTGAGCCATGAGCTTCTCCCTAAGCCCAGTCACATAGGAAGGGGCCTGCGTGCGCCTTCTCAGGGTGGATGAGGAACCAATAGCAGAAATGACAGAGATTAAAGAAGTGCAGGTCTTACTGTTCCTGGGAAGTTATTAGACCACCCTAGGCCTTAGTTTATTCATCTCTAAAAGGAGTCCAATTATACCTGCTTTACCTGTCTCATGGGAACAAGGTAAAGGTTAAGGTCACTGAGGAGATAATGAAAAAAATACCATCCAATCATTCTAAATGGTACTTTTATGGCTCAGGAGAGTAAATGCCTCTTCCACAACATCTAATCAGGGCAGCACATCCATATATGAAGAATCCGGGTGCCGATCCCTGAAAGCACTTTGAATTCTGCTCCAGAACACATGGTGTTACTTAATAATTCAGGACTAAGAGTGAGCCTTGGGCCTAGGTTTTTAGTTACTAAACCACCAACAGATTTGACTTAAGATTACATCTATCACAAAAATATTTAAGGAGTTCACTTTGCGCAATCAGAACCAACAGGTGGAGTCTGCCCTCCTGTTGGCCTCCCCCTCACCTGGGTGTCTCCAGGGGGGTCTTCAGCCCTCCAGTCTGGAAGGAGCTCCTTGGCCATGGTGTTTTCAGCATATTCAAATGATGAGCAAGTCTGAGGCCTTGCCTCTGCTTCATTCTCCTTTTGGGAATTGATTTTTCCTAAACGAGGAAATGTAAATGAAATTACAGTCAACTTTCTTCAGCTCTATGTAAATTCAGGGAAGGCAATAGGGAAGATATTCAGAAATAATAAAAAGATCCAAATGTGGTGAAAGCTGCATTTCCCAACATTCTGCACCCTGCTAGTATGTGGTAACAGATATGTCTGCATAACTCTGTGCATCTGGAGAGGATGTCCACCTTGGAGACCGAAAGGCCAACTGTCCTTGGACCACCCTTACATAAAATGTTGATAAGCTTTTCATGTTAATGAAAGGTTCAATGGGCAAACTGGGAAACATTGACTAGTTCTCAAATAGTGTTATTCATCAAATAATTAACAGATTTCCTTTCTGGAGCACTTCTCAGAGCCTTCATTGTGCTAATAGGGACTGTCATAACTTCCAAAAAGTGATTTAAATTTGCAGACTGTCCCCAACATGTTTGAGCAGGGAACCCTTATTTTCCTAGAATATCTTTGAAGATCATTTTAAATGTTAAGGTTAGGAAATTTGCTCAGAAGTCCTTAAAAATCCTGCGGGGTCATACTTGTCTAGCTTTGATTTGCATGTATGGTCAGCTGAGTTTTTGTTAAATTGCAGATTCTGATTCAGTAGGTTTGGGGTGGGTCTGAGATTCTGCATTTCTGACAAGTTCCCAGATGATGCTGATGATGTTGGCCCATGGATCACATTTTCAGGAGAAAGGATGTAATTAACAGAGAACAATTAAAGAAAGTTCTTGCATTACCTATACAAGTAAGATAGCCTGCAGAGTGTATTCCTTCTCATGACAGAAAGGAGAGGCTGTTATTACCCTCCATCGTCAATGGTAATTAACAGGGCATGCTGAGATAGCCTGTTTACGCTGTTTTGCTTGCGAGCAGAAGCAAAGTACATAGGTGTATTTTCATCGACGCTGAGATATGTACAGTTACTACCATTTTTGATATGGGGATAAGAGAAAAACCAATTCAAGTTCATACATTAAGTAGAAAGTGACTGCTCTAAACCACTTTCCTTTTGGTTCAGCCAGTCCTCCATTCCTTATTTTTTAGAATGAGTAACCAATGGCCACAGAAAAGAGAGAAGCCTTGGAAATCTGGCTGTGCCTCTGAACCACAGTGACAATATCACTGGGTGGACAGGAAGTGCCAGGACCGGTGATACAAAAGTATCCGGCATCATGTTGATCTCATGCTCTGCCATATACTACTTTTTTACAACTCTTCATGGCAATTTAATTAAGACACAAACTGGTGCTGTGAATATTGCAGCAAGATCAGAACAATCTCCTTCCTATCCCCTTCTTATACAGCAATTCAAGGCCTGCAGTTTCTATTCAATTTGTTATAATGACAGTGTTTAATCATGGCGTCTACTCGGCAGCCCGCTGCTGAATTGAGGTCACACATGTGACTATTCAGGCATGAAGCACATAATCTATAACTAAGATTTCATTCCTGAATATCTGGAGGCTGTGCCATTAATTAACAATACATTTATTTCAAAAATAATATGCATTCCAGCTTTTTAATACATAGCCTTTGCTTGAAATGAGCAGAAGTTTGTGATGAAACATTCATGGTGGTTAGTATTACAGTATGAAGGAAGACCTCAGCCAATCACATTTATTCAAAGATGTTTAATTAAAAGTCTTCTTTTCTAATTTTTCAAAAGCCTATAATATAATTTCTACTTTGGCTCTTTTCTCATCATCAAATAATAAATGAAAATCTGTAGAATTCTATTTCATATGCCTGTGTTTGTCATAAATGTAACATTGGCCATACCAGTTAAAAATTAGAGTGTCATCTTGAGCAGCAATAAGTATTTTTAATCTCGAGGGGACAATAAAAAAACTTAGACCCTTAGCCTGGTCCTGTCTTTAATAATGAAAGCTTGTTTCAACTGATGGTAACCAAAGATGGTCCTTCTTGGTGGGAAGGCTTGCTCCATCCTATTGCAGTTAGTGCACAATATACTGCTGATGTATCCAAATAAGTTCTTTTATCATTCAACATATAAATATATTTGAACAGGATAGGATTATGTCAGAAGACATATGTGTCTGCTTGGAAGGAAAACAACATTTCAGTTAAATTTATGCTGTGCCTCCATTGGTCTATATTCAGAATTAAGTTTGAAATGACAAAAGCCCATGTGTATGTTGTGTGGTTTTTTTCTTACTCAATTTATATATCCATAAACCTGTATCTACATGCTTATTTCCTTTATATGTAGTACACTCCTTAATATAATGCAAAGAGCGGATAATGTTTAATGCTTGTCTTTTCACTTTTTGGTTGAGGACATGCAGGGATTTTCATGCATCCACTTTTCCATTGGGCAGAGGTCACTCCCTGGGTTTCTGGTGGAAACCATTTCTGCTGCCTGTTTTGCACTGTCAGCAAGTGCATTATTTTGGTAGAAAAGCAATATAATTCGGAAGGTAATAGGCATCTTACCTGCAGAGGCTGGTTTGGGGAGGCGACTCTGAAGAGGTCGCACTGCCCTGGCAGCCATGATGGGGTCGGATGTGGAATGAACAATGGCGTTGTCTGCAGAGCCCTGGCTGTCGGTGGAGGAAGGCACTTTCCTTTCAAGGGTCTGGGCTCGGATGGAAGGTGTTGCACAAAGGGCTGGCTGGAGACACAGGATGGGCTCAGTGTCCTCTGGGGAGTCTGACTGGCATATGTACCGTCCTGTTGAGCGAGCTCCCGAGTCTGGTAGCGGGAAGGTTCCGATCCCACTGTCCAGGGTCCTCATCTGGCAGTTTGATTCTAGACAGAGTAACATAGTGGGGATTAGAGGTGGCTCACATAAAAGGATAAAAGGATTTTGGGCATTTGGATCTGATCTGGAGGAAAGGGGGCACCTAGAAGAAAGATGCAGTATTAATGGTGTCGTAAATTTCTGGTGAGTGGCATGAAACAGACATTTAATTGAACATGAAAATATTCCCTTCACATAATAGAAGGTAAGAAAGCCAGCTGTTACTGGCAACAAGAGGCATATGTACATATACCCTAATGGTTCTCTAGAGTTATAATAGAAAAAGAATAGTCATTAGAGACCAAAAATTACTTTTGATAACCCTTATTTCAATTGGGAATCATATGACTTCAACCAATTAAGTAAAATTTATTAACTGAAATAAGAGTAATGAGCATAATAACAAATTGAAGTGATGTCCTAACAAAGGTAATTGTACATCCCCCTTATATGATTTATCATCCATTCTACTGTTAATTAAGTCTATGGCCTCTCAATTTAACTGTGAGGACAAGTAGCTCATATACTATAAGGGTCATCCCCAAAGTTACTTTACCCATGGCAGTATCACTTATCATATGGACTTCATTTATCCCAATTGCCATTTGAAGTCTTACTGAGAAGACTACAGAGGCACTTCCTGTCTTTCACTCATACTTTATGCAATGACAAAACTCATCAGTATCTTTCTAATTTCTTGTCATTCCCAGGGATCCCACTATTTACTTAAACAAATTATGTTGATTTCACCATAGGTGTGTGACACATCCTGCTAATTATATCTCATCTTCAGAAATGCATTATCTGAAAAAAATATTGTATATTTAATCTCTGAAATGGTGGTGTGGTTTATCCAAGCCAATGAGACAGCTTCTAAGATCTGGTTGACATACTACAAAACTCCTGTTTATATGATAATCTTAGAAAGAAACATCCTTAGTAAAGTTTACATCAGTATCTTACAAGTTTAGGACTAGGTAAGAAGCATAACTCAGCACTGTGTTAGGCATGGTGGGAAGGTAACAGAATACAACGTAATCTTTGTATCAGGAGACTCAACAGTTAACATTTCTCCGGTGCTTTATGGGACTGTGGCTGGGAGTATGGTTTCTGCTGGAAACTGAGGGAAGGCTTACATGAGATCCTTCACCTCTCGAGATCTCAGGTTTCTTACAGAGTTGCTGTGAGTATAAAATATGCTTGCCACCAAATCTCTAAAATTTAGAATACCTAGCATTGCTGAAAGAATAAAATAATGAATGGTGAATATACAAAATACTCAGTATACTTAGGCATTAGTAGATATCTGATAGGCAGAAAGTTTGTCCTTCAGTATCTTTCTTAGACAATTGCATTTGATGCTCAGCAGTTAGTATCTGAACTCCAGAATTTGTGCATCCTCCCCCCCACCTTGAAACCTCTTTGCTCTGAGTAGTAGAATTCTGTGAATTTCCTAATAGTAAAGTAAAAGTAAAAGGGGAAGGCACAGAGTTGGGATTTACAGGTTCTAGTAAGTTTGGTGCTTGGTTTTGGAAGCCCAGAAGATGAGCCCCTGTCAAAAGAGAGTCTTCATTCTCCAAAAGGGATATTTAGTAGGGAGATACAGAGAGCCTGTCTTTAGTAGGGTGCCATTTAACTGTCTCATGTGATGTTGCACCCGAGACTGGTCAGGGACTGTGGAGCCCTGAATCATGTGGGTAGAGTCTGAGATCTTTCTCAGGATCACAAGGGCTAAGGTTTAGGCCCATTCATTTCAGGGCCTCCACCTGGTCAACTTTACTCTCGACCAGCTTTACAGATGATGCATTACCTCCTCTATTCATTTTCTCCTCAATTAAGGAGACTTAATTGTTACAGAATGGCCTTTTGAGAAATGATCAGCTGTTTGCATGGGGAAGTGTTGCCAGAGGAGTTTGAAAAGGAAGACCCTGCCAGTCAGAATTCAGTGTCCTTACTTCATTTTAGCCTAGATATACAACACTCAGATTTAGCATGTTCACATGTTGTACTTGGGCAATTCTAAATGTCTGAACTATTTTAGCTTCACACAGAAATGGATCTTCATCAGAACTGAATCAGCCTTTGAGGATGGGAATGAAAGATTCATGGGATGTAAGAGCTGAGATGTGTCAGTCCCACAAATGTGCCAGGCTGCCTGCCATAGTAATTTCCTCCCAGCACCTTTGGTATTGCCTACCCCGGGACCAAAGAGTCCTCATCATGGAAGGATGCTGGGGACTCTTTTCGTTTTGTGAAGAAAGATCATCACGTTTGGCTGCTTACTACAGCCACCAGGAGTTCACTGCATTCTGTGTATCTGTCTTTATCTTCACAACTCTAAAGGTAAGAGCTAGCACCACCATTCACAAACAAGGAATCACAGCTCCAAAAGGTTAAATAACTTGCCCAATGTTTTGAGCTGTGAGTAAAGCTCTTAGATTTGATGATGTGCTTAACCATGAAGCTACACTGATTCCCGTAAAAGCACAGGTAAATCCAGAAGTGGAGCCCACTAAGTTAATAGCCACTGAGGAAGCCTTGTGAGCAGAAGGCTCAGAGAATGGCCACCTGCTCCTGGCACGGTGCCCAACTTCTCCTCTGAAATCGGTGCAGGCCAGGGGATTCTAGCTGGTTCCCAAGTTCCCTGTCCTGAGTTGGTGTCTACTGTTGACATTCCCAGCATCTAGGTAGCTGCTGCCAAACACAGGGTGTCTACGCATCCTCATCTTCGTGGTTCCTGAGGACCACGATCGCCTAGTAATGCTCTCCCCTGCCCTCTCAGATCCTATCTGCAGAGCTCATGCCAAGGTCTTCCGGGAATTTACTTCACCTCTTGGGGGAATGTTTTTCTGAGTTTCTCTAAGAACTCTCTCCCCCACCAAGTATTTTATTACTCAGAGAGCACTTCATCCAGTCCCCTAAAATGGAGACTCAAAAAACAAAGTAAGATTTTTGGCTGTCTTGTCAGTGATTTTCTGAAGAAAGGCCCTAAACACCAAAACCCACGTATGGTGGCGGGGCCTACCATTCAAGGCAGGAAATACGGCAAGAAGGGATCTGGGGAAGGAAAAGTGATTAAGTCAGTCCAAGTCTGGTGTCCTTCTGAGGACACCAATGTTTTCTGGTATCTTCATACTCTTGTCATACCAGAATCTATGAAATAGGACTTTTGATATTCCCGACTTCTCTGATTCTCGAAGAATTGTGTGCACTGACATTAAATTCAGAAACTGCCTGCTATTAAAGCCATTTTTATTTCTAAAAATTACAGATGCCAAATGTACTGAATTTGAAGGACTCATCTGTAAACACCTATGAAATGAGGTGTGGACAGTCAGGGACTCAGGCACTATATGCCAAGTCTCAGCCTCAAGCAAATTTCTCCAGAGTGCATAAACCTTTGGAAATGGAGCTTGTATTGAAAATGCTGACACCTTCTTTATGTAGTTTCTTTCAGGTACTGTAAGTTTCTCACAGTTCATAAAAATATTGTAACCTGAAAAAGGGTTAGATATTGTACTTCCAAAGCCAGTTTTTTCCTCAGAGAAGTATAAGATCTCACGAAATAATTAAATGGCTGCTATAGGAACAAAGTTCAAAGGGGCAGCCCAGCCTTGCATCTCAAATGAGTTGCCTCAGTCTTGATCTTGACAAGTTCTTCATATTTTTGGCTGAGAGAACAGCTGCCAACAGGACCTTGCTAATGAGTTCAAGGGTTGGGGTCGCTGGACAGACCAGAAGGTTTTATTGCTCCAAGGTCGCCAATTACATTTGTGACCCTAGTTGGCCCTCCCACCTATTTCTCATTGTCCTATTTGCTTTCTTTCTATCTCCCAAGGTTGGTTCTTTCACTGGTCACCAACGAGCCCCAGATATTTCATGAGATAATTTACAGCAGAGCTTCCTAGTCCTTTTTTAAAATCCTCACGTGAGGGTATGTTTATTGATTTGAGAGAGACAGAGAGAGATGTGAGAAACATCAATTGGTTGCCAACATTACCTGCCATGACCAGGGATGAAACCTGCAACCTAGATATGTGCCCAGACCATATCTACAACATATTTGGTGTACCAGACGATGCTATACTCCAGCAATCTGAGCCACCTAAGCCACCTAGCCAGGGCTCTAGTCCTTTTAAAGCCATGGCACACACAGAAAATATATGGCTTGCTGAGGAAAACACCAGCTGTCCCAGGATCGCTGGCCACCTGAGAGCTGAAGCCTCAACATCTCAGCACACCTGGGTCCGTTCACGGCATGTGAGCAGCAGAATGGTAGGGACTCTCTCACTTACAGGGTGGAGTCAGGATCTTGTTTACTCACACCTCGAATATATTACCAAGGAGATGGAGCCTTTTTAGTCTCTTAGCAGCTGATATGGTAATTTCTATGCCCTCCTTTTTTTGGGAAGTCTGATGAAGGTGCCTGGGTTAAGAATACTGTCTGGCACCAGAGCTTTGAAGGATGTTATTGTGCCTCAGAGGGAGACGTGCAGCCTGGGTGTGGGCAGCCTAGAAGGGTGAGGTTCTGTGTGGTGGTGGCAGGGAAGACATTTTGGAGAAACATTTCCACTGGGAATTTTTCAAGTGTTAGCTTAGGCTGCATGATCTAAAATCCCCACTCAGCTCACCAATGACCATTCCCCCTTATACTCCTTGAATAAGGAGCCTCAGCACATGGCTTTAGTTTCCTCATCTGAAAATTAGATCAAATAACTTTCATCAACGGTTATCATAAAAGCATCACAGGGGTGTTTTGAGGACTAGATGCAAAGCACATAATAAACAGCATGCTGCTTCCACCGGATACATAACTGTTATTCAGAAAAATGGCAATAATTCTCAAAATCGGTGTTATTAGACTGTAAGCATCCTAGGTGCAGAATGAATTTTATTTATCTCCTCAATATTCCCATATAAGCCAATTCCTGGTTCTATATTACCCTTATTCCACCGTAGGTAATTATATGCTGACAAAGCTGATAATAATTAGAGGCTGATAGAGCAT